CCTCTAGGCTGATCTAAGTCAGTGCATGGCTAACTCACAGATTGAACCCTGGAACAACCTCTAGGCTGATCTAAGTCAGTGCATGGCTAACTCACTAATTTCCTTACCATCACTACCACCAAAGAGGCTCTTTGTCAATCCTGAGGTTTTGACTTGTCCTGTGCTTTCAATGCAGATTAGACGTCCTCCTTTAGCAGTTTGTTGAGCTATCTGGAAGGGAAAAAATTGGAAAATTCATAAGATGTGTGTCAAAATGGTAAAATATTTGATACAGGTATGGGAATTATATCCTCAGAACTGTACATTTTATAAGAAACCTTTATATCATATATTATTCATACACCATTCTTACTAATAAAAACAATATACTTGTACTTACAGCAGAAACAATGCTTGAAGTGTTGGCTACTTCTTGGTTCCTACCAGAGAGTTGATCCAGTAAGCCAGCTCTCTCTGTAGTATGAACATCAGACTTGACCACCAAGAGCTGCCAGCTGTGATGTACTGGAGGTCTAATTAAGAGATACAAAACTTTACCTCATCCTACCATATCACTAGCATGGGGAGGGGGTATGGAGTGGCTTGTGCCCCCCCCCCCCCCCCCCCAAGTTTGCTTTTGGCACCAAAATTTAATCAATTCATGTGAGATTCCTGTGGATTTGGCAGGAAAATGTTAAAAGTTTTGCACCATCACTTGCTGGCAGCCATGTTAGAAGGCAATAATGGGGCAGATCCAGAATTTTCAAAAGTGTGGTGACCATTATAGGTTACCTTATGCCAATAACCACAGGCTTTAATTTAGTAGTCACATGTTAAAATAATTTAATAAAAATAGGAACCCATAAAAGGCAGAACAATCTGGAAAAAATTGCATTTCAAATTGACAAAAATTAARTAGACCCATTTACCTTCATATGCAAATTGCCCATTTCAGATYACATGAAATTCCCTCAAGAGTTGTTCTTTTATGACGAACTTGTTTAAAATATTTAAATATGAAAGAATCAACTCCCAAGAGTGGCATCACATGGTTTGAAATGTGCACAACAAACAACAAAGCTAAAGAGGTCTATTAGAGAGCTTATATCCAAATACTTTTTTAAAATGCCTTGATTTATAATAAGTTTTTTTTTATTTGACTGTGCAAAGGGGGATCTGCCCTGAATTCTTGCCTTAAACTCACCCTTGTGGTCTACTGAACACGGCTTGGTATGGATTTTCATTAGCATTCCAACCAATTTTACCAATACCAGGTACTTGATTAAAATCTGCTAAAACAAAGCCCTGYCCATATGGGGTGCTTAGTTCACCATACTTTGATGTGATGTCTGAGGACACAAGTGTCTGGCCTGTTGTCAATCCTAATGTTGCTATAAATGATGGAAGAGAGATGTAATGAGATGTGATGGGTAGCATGATTGTTCTTTACTGCTAATGTATTGACCTCTATCTAATCAATGCAAGGCAGGTGTCAAGGAGCCTGCATTTAAGTCCTGTCTAAGCTAGTATATCAGTCATACAAGGGGTTTTCATTGAGTTCTCCATGCAGTTTTTCTCTATAAAAAATCAACATGTAAGTGTGTAAAATATTCAAAAACTATGTTGCAAGAAATGYGTATGAAGGATGCATGTGCATCACCCCACAAGCTTTCGGCTGTAAAGCCTCCAGTGTATGAGTAAAACGATTACAATTATCATTATCATTATTACTATGATTATTAATTTCCTCCTCATTCTTGTAGTGATCTGTTCCCGTTGACATCCTACAGTATCATTATAAATACATAGATATCGTAATACTGCATTCTTGCTGAGTGCAATTTCATTGATATCATTTGTCAATGCTTGTATGATTTACTAAGAAGGTGCTTGTCTTAATCAGTTCTGCTTATGCTCTACACTCGTGTGGTTTTCAGTTATTACACTCGTCATCATCATGATCATGATCATTTTAATTGTTATTATGATGATTATAATTATTATGTTAAAATGTGGAAAATTTAGATAAGCTTAATTTATTCTTTCTTAAAATGTTGCTCTAGCTAGCCATTCTTAATTTATATATTCCATCTATAAAAACCCCCCAACGAAATATAACGTTCACTAAGAAATAAAGATATTTTGTTGATATTTCTTACCTTTACCTACTGTCAGCACATCTATTTTAGTGAAATGATAATCATACTTTAGCCCTGGATAAGGATATGAATCTGTGGGTAGAGGTGTATGATTCTTGTCTGAATATGCGCCTTGTTGTTGATCAGCAGAGCTGCCCGATTCTTCACCAGCAATAAAATTACCAACCTTTTTCCTATTAATTTAAACAGATATTTTTATTGACACTCGAAACAAACTCTGGACGAATCTGAGTCAGAGCATAAACCTCACAGATTGAATAATGGGGGGAAATATGGGATTAGCTTAAATGATCGGGATGGAGTAGCTTCCATCTACGAGCGACGAATGTCAAAAATCTAACTCTATTATTTTTAAATGTACATACCTGATTGAGCTTAGATTCATAACTGGAATATCAGTATGCCTTCTTCTTGCTCATRAAGTTCTCTACCAGTTTTATTCGTTACGGTTTTCCAGATTTTGAGGTCTCCTTGTTTACATGATAGCCCTTCCTAGATCAGGCCAACTACCCACAGTACCTTGCTGGTATCATAACACCTATTTGGGCTTCCTTTGCATAAAATAAAATAAACCCAAAATTAAAGTAGATGTTGCCTACGCATGCAGCAGCTAGTCCATATAGTATCTTGCGGTTTTTTTTACGTAAAAAACATATCTTGAAAGCTGCAGATCCATTAGATTGTTTGTTTTAGAATAACATTACTATTCTTTGACTTTTGTTAAAAACATGTTACTTGCACTTTGCAGTCTGCCATGGTGCGTTTGTGACGTTGATGAGTGCAGGGGGAAAAGGAAATTGTTATGTACTTTATTTGTTGCTTTTAATTACCAGTTTTGAGATTTTCAAAAACAGAGTACTTTTTCTTGGACTACGCGGCTTGCGTTAGTGCGTTTATCCGTTTATGAGCGAAGTGACCCGCTGAAATTGTTTTGTAAATAACAATCCCTGAAAGGCGCAAATCCACTTTATTGGTGTTTGTTTTGCAATTAAATGATTGTTTTTAAGACGACCACTTACCAGTTTTTGACTTTTGTAAAAACAGGGCACTCTTCTTTGCATGTAGCAGCTTACCATAGTGCGTTTGTCCTTTATGGTGGGCAAGTCATAGTGGAAATGTTTGTATGAATAACATCACTTGAAAAGCTCAGAACCATTTCATTAGTGCTTATTTTACAATGAAATGTTCTTATTTGCTGCTTTTGAAATGATCATTCAATTTTTATTGACTTTTGTAAAAGCAGGGTACTTCGGCCCTTGGACTGCACGGCTTGGATTGGTGCGTCATTATAATAATGCGTGCTGTATCTCCTCTGTGACCAAATACGTCTTTCGTAATAAAATATTTCATATAATGAAGCAAATCAATGTTTTTTCTTGTTTTTATTCGTTTAAATTGCGTGTAAGTGGGAATAATTCTTGCACGTGTTAGAACATATAAATCTTAGTCTGTCTGTCGCCTTCATTTATGCACCTCAAGGATCGAGAGGGGAGAAGGGGTGGGGACTGATAGATGCTAGCTTTTAGAACAAATTCTTTATGAGATTTTATCTTTATTTGCTAAGTTAAACTTTATTGTAAGGAAATTTTAATTAAACAAAAAATAAATAAATGAATAAAAAATTGTTGAAAACATTAAAAATATAATAAAATATGATTAAAAAATTATTCGAATATGCAAATATACGCTATCTTTTTGGATAAAATTCTTTGATTGAAAGGTAAAAAGCGCGATAAACTAAGATTGCTTCCTATAAGCCTTTTCACAGTTTAAGAATCGATTCCACTGCGCATGCGATTTTATCCCGAATTTCTACATTCTTTTGTCTAAACCTTCTTTGTTCTTAATTAAACAAAAGAATATGAGAAATTCGGGATAAAATCGCATGCGCAGTGGAATCGATTCTTAAACTGTGAAAAGGCTTATTGGATGATAGCTCTTCATTGACAGCTAATTTCACGTGCAAAGATTTTAACCAATGAAAAATGGAAACCGTTAGAATGTAAAAYACTGTACCATTTGAAAAGACCACCTGATTGACAATCAAAAAGCGCGAAAATTAGACTAACCCTATTGGTTAAAACCTGTTGCATCGTCATGTGAAATTACCAAATAGCCAATCAAATTACAGATCCTATAACGTAATCTAATACTATTGGCTGGTGTTGTTTGATTGGCAGTTGATTCACGTGGGAATGAATTCTCAACTTTCTGGTTCGTGGGGTTTGACTTCATAATCAAGCTGACGTGAAGTAAGTCAGRTATGTACTGCTCTATTCCTTTAAAAATTGCCTAAAAATTACTATTCTTTTATAAAGTTTCTGTAATTTGATCAAGAAAATTTGTAGTTTTGTACGAGGCACCGCTAATTACAAGTGAAACAAGCCTTTTTTCCATTTTTTTAACCATTTTTTTAAACCTTCAAACTTATTTGACTTGATGCAAGTCGTTGTGAAGTGAGAAAATCTAATTCTTTGAAAACTTTCTTCACCTTTACTATCGAGAAAGGAGACTTTGTACAATTCATGTTAGTTTTTAAATCTTTTCAGTAAGAATATTATCATTTAAAGCTTTAGGAGAAAATTTCCATTCACGGTGTCGAAGGAGTTGCAAAGCGACCACGAGTCAAAACGCTACAAATTTTCTTTTTTTTGTACAATTTTCTTCACTGAATTATTCTATTGTACTTTTAATTAGATATTGTAACTATTGTAAGTTTATTTTATCTAGTTTTTGACACTTTTTTGCTTCGAAAATGTTTCAGTTTTGTTTTCGCGCGTTTTTCACGTCGCAAGATTTTCATTGGGTACTCTTACAGAAAATTTGGATTCTGGATGCAAAAATTTCMTTTTTGTTCTATTATTGAAAAAGCATTTGTATTGATTTACTGAGCTTTTAATTTTTAACTTTTATTTTTAGCGTTTTCTAATCTTTTTACGCMAGTTTCAATTATTTTTATGATTTATCTGACGTTTTGGCGCGCTTTTCATCCTCACGAAAATCGTTAAYCAATCTCGTCAAAACTTCGTCGGCTGCTGGGTTTTTTTACTATTTCGAAGAATAGTAAAAAAACGAAGATCTTTTTCTACCTAATACTAATATTTTTATCGATTTTTCAGATCAAAAATCATTATTGGAAGTGGTTATATAAAGTACTAGAAGCAAGAAGAAGACTACTGCGTATTGTAAGACGATGGTGGAAGATCGTGAACAAGTTCAACGAAAATTAACTGAATTGCTTTATAATCATTTTTTGGTTTGGTTGGCTCTAACTTGTTCTTGATCTTYCTTATTGTTGCATTGCAGTTAGAAGGAAAGAGGTGGGGAGATGCAGTTCCTAAATCAAAAGGAACTTTTTTAAAGAGTRAACTCACTAGGTTAGGACTTTGACTTGCAAACATCTGTTAAAAATTTCCTCTATCATCTACATAGAAATTGGGTCATATGTTGCAAGTCAAARCTATTCTGCAATGATTTTTTTCTTCGTTATTTTTTCTAGAAACGTTTTAGGCTAGCAGTAGGAGGGGACCAGATGTAAGGCTGRTCCCAGGGATTATTTGTTTGACAAGAAGCTACCACTATCTTAAAACTAGGTGGAGTGCGGGTATGGCGGATATTAGTGTTTTTGACTGGTCATCTCGACCAGGGTCAATTGGCCAARACTAGGCTAGTTTTTTAAATGAACTTTAGTCACCAAGCTGGCAACGTTGCACGTCGATAAAGACACAGGATCTACACATATAAGGTGTGAACTTTAGTCAACTGGAGTTCAGTCTTACTTGAGTAACGCTGGCCAGTTCAGATCACTCACTCCCCTCACACAGCGCCTAAGGTTAGATGTCTTCTATTCTTAGCTTAGACTGGCCAGTTGCGTGCTCTCGTAAGACTAGGTACAGTCAGGATCACCCGCCGGATGAATGACCTCGCCCCTCCTTTCGGTTGATGGTTGTGATGAAATCCTGACTTGCTGCTCCAGTGTAGTTTTTCTTTTCAGTCGTGGATCAAGTCTACCAAGAACAGCCAAACTCGGCTGCCTCTAGAAGAGAAGACGAGTCTGCGATAGTTTTCTGTTTTATCATGCACCGGGCATGTCAGTGGTAGCTTCTTTAGGATAGAGTTTTGTATCAAACTAGAGATGTTTATGATTGATGTTTAATTTATGCATGTTCGTTTCTTGGTTTTTCCCCACAGTCGTATGTTAATTCTTTTACTTTAGATTTATAACTATGTTTTCACTTCGATAGCATGTGGTAGATCATCATAATTTTTTCTATTCGATACTAACTTCGTACTTCTATATTTCGGACTTTTTTCGACGATAACTTTAAGATTCGTGTTCGAGAATATTTCTCTAAGATCTTTATTCGAGGGTGTGTGTCTTGGATATTCCAGCTCTCTCTGAAGTATTCGTTACTTCCTTGAGAATCCTGGAATATCCCCTCTTTTCTTAGTTTAATCTCATTCGATAGCATGATGTAATAATAGATTCGAAGGTGTGGGTCCTTGGATATTCCAGCTCTCTCTGAAGTATTCACTACATTTTTGAGAATCCTGGAATATCCCCTCTTTTCTTAGTTTAATCTCATTCGGTAGCATGATGTAATAATAGATTCGAGGGTGTGGTCAATGGATATTCCAGCTCTCTCTGAAGTACTCATTACTTCCTTGAGAATCCTGGAATATCCCTTCTTTTCTTAGTTTAATCTCATTCGATAGCATGATGTAATAATAGATTCGAGGGTGTGGTTCCTTGGATATTCCAGCTCTCTCTGAAGTATTCATTACTTCCTTGAGAATCCTGGAATATCCC